GTGAGCAGGGCTACCCAAAGCACCGCAAGCCCCTGCCCAAGCTGCCCGGTTGCACCCTGTCCCCACTGGCACGACCCCACCCTGCCTGGACCATCGCCCACGCCCTCTGTGCCACCAGACGCCCTCAAGCTGCTCCGCCCCATGGCTTCCTGTTCAGCCCCCATAAGGTCTGTTTTGGTCTGTCCTGTGCTGGACCATGACCTGCTCCTACCGCTGTACTGCTGACCCTGGGGACCCCTCCTCACCTCTTCTGTAGGAATCTCCAGAGAGCCTCAGGAAGCCGAATCCCCAGCAGGGGTCTGGGAAGTGGCGGCAAACGCTAACGCCTCCCCCTCATCCTGCTGACCTTGGAGACATGCCACCCCCTCCCCTTCCCAGCCTCTAGGTGGGCCAGCTCATGGACTCTGGGGAGCTCGTTCACCCCAAGGGCCAGCGTGGGGTGCTCTTCAGGTCGGGGGCCTGGTTGGGGTGGTGCCCCTGAAGAGCACCAGGGTCATGCTGCCAAGATGGCCAGGCCAGCCTTACCTGTGGGAGGGGGGTGACCTGTGGGCCCGGGGAGGAGGCGCCTGCATGGTCCCTGAAGGTGCTGGGGGCAGGGCGCTCACCTTGGGGAGGACGAGCTCCCTGTTTCTGTGCACACACTCCCCTGCCCCGCATGGGGACAGTGGGGGTGGGGCGCTCACCTTCCGAAGGACCAGCTCCCCATTCATGTGCATGGCCAGGTTTCCAAAGTGCAGGAGCATCTGGTCGGTGGCCAGCCGTTGCTCGATGACGTCGTCCCCATAGATGACCACAATGGCCACGCAGATGAAGAGATGGAAGTAGTCCGTCTGGGGGGAAAGGGGGCTTCGGGTGAGGCCGCCGGCCCCACCCCCGGCCTGGCCTTGAGGGCGGGAGGCTGTGCAGGGGGAGCGCCCCAGAGAGAGGCCCCTGGGCTCAGAACCAGAGCATGCGGGTCGTGGGGCCCTCAGCACCCGACACGGCCTCTTTTGTCCTCAGTTTCCCCCCTGCACATGGGGCTCTTTGAGTGGCCCAGGGCCCTGTAACAAAGGACCACAGAGTGGGTGGCTTTAAACAACTGTCTCATGGTTCTGGAGACCAGCAGTGAAATCAGGCCGTTAGCAGCCATGCTCTCTCCGAAGGTCCAGGAGGAGCGCCTTCCTTGTCTCTCCCAGCTCCTGGTGGGCGCAGGCGGTTCCGGGCTTGTAGCGGGAGCATAACTCTGGGGTCAGGCGGCCACCTCCCCTCTGTGTCCCTTCCTTTATAGACTCCATTCGGATTGGCTGCAGGCCCAGCCTGCTCCAGTAGGACCTCATGTTAACTGACAGAGTCTTCAAAAACCTTATTTCGAGAAAAGGTCATGCTCGCAGGTACCAGGGGCTAGGACGTCAACAGATCTTTTTGGGGGACACAATTTAATCCGTAACAGGGGCCAGTGCTGGAACCTGCACCCAAAGGTGGCCATGACTCTTTCAGGGAGCTCTTTGGGTCACCTTGCGATTTGGGGCAAAGAAAACCTTTCCTCTCTGAAGACTGACCTATGCTAATGTCGATGTCTTATTTGTAAAGGTCTTGAGAGAGAGCGCGGCACAGTGGTTAAGAGCTTGGCTGCTAGCCAAAAGGTTGGCAGTTCGAATCCACCAGCCAGCCGCTCCCTGGAAACCCTATGGGGAAGCTCTACTCCGTCCTATAGGGTGGCTATGAGGGGGAATCGACTCAACGGCAATGGGATGGGTTTTGTGAGAGATGGTGTGTGTGGAAGCCTGGGTCAGAACACGCTTGGTAGGCCGTGGAATACACCAGCAAGGAAGAACCTTTTGGCAGCCAGTACTCCTTTTGTCTGTCTTTTTGGCTTCAGGCTTGAATGGCCCCCAATCAACTATACAGTTTGTCACTGCATTAGTCAGGCGTCTCCAGAGGCACAGAACCAACAGGAGATATATATGCCGCTGCTGTTACCTGCTGGCAAGTCGACCCCAACTCACGGCAACTCCATGCAAAACAGGGTCAGACTGTTGTGATCCACAGGGTTTTTCACTGGCTGATTTTCAGAAGGAGATCGCCAGGCCTTTCTTCCTAGTCGGTCTTAAACCTGTTGGAAGCTCTGCTGAAACCCGTTGAGCATTCTAGCAGCACACAAGCCTCCACTGACAGATGGACGGTGGCTGCGCATGAGGTACACTGGCCAGGAATTGAACCCAGGTCTCCTACATGGAGGGTGAGAATTCTACCAGAGCCACCGCAGCCCCCGTATATGCAGAGAGATGTATTTTGAGGAATTGGTATCTCCATCCCTCTTGCAAAGGCCGCCTCCGGCTCCTATCCTGGAAGCGCCTGGGGGGCAGCAGGAAGCAGCGCCTGGTCCTGACCCGAGGTGCCCTCCTGCCGGATGCTTCAGGGGCACGCTGTCTTTGATGCACACTCGCTCCGGGAGCACGGGAAGCCTGTGTTTAGTCTCGGATGCCCACTGCTCAGACCAGGCGGAACCGCACTCCCAAACCCGCCCTCAGAGCCCCCTCCGATGCCAGCACAGGGGACGCTGCGCCCGACCCCCCAGGAAGGACTCACAAGTCTAGACTTCCCCCAGGCAGCGAGGCCCTGGACCGCCCAGCCCCTTCCCCCCAACTCGTCCAACTTGTTCCAGCTCAGAATGATGCTTCTGCAGCTACTGGAGCTCTGGCCAAGGAGCCCTGGTGGTACAGTGGTTAAAGCGCTCGGCCACTAACCAAAAGGTCGGTGGTTTGAACCCACCAGCCGCTCTGTGGCAGAAAGATGTGGCAGTCTGCTTCCATAAAGATTACAGCCTTGGAAACCCTATGGGCAGTTCTACTCTATCCTATAGGGTCGTTATGAGTTGGAATCGACTTGATGGCAGTGGGTTTGGTTTAGTTTGGGTCTGGAGCTCCGGCTGGGTTGAGGAGACGTGGAGGAGTTCCAGGATGTGATCTCCCCTCGGAGAGGAATGTGGGGAGGAAAGGTGGAGCATGTTCCAAACAGGGTGGGGCGGGGCCAGGCTGCTCCCAGTCCACAGGGAAAGGCTCGGGGCCATCTAGTCCCCACAGGCCATTGAGTCGACTCCAACTCATGGCGACCCCACATGTGTCAGAATAGAACTGTGCTCCATGAGGTCTTCAACGGCTTATTTTTCAGAAGGAGATTGCCAGTCCTTTCTTCCGAGATGCCTTTCGGTTAGCAGCCATTCACAATCTCTGTTTGCACCACCCAGGGACTTCCTTCATCAGCAAACTAATAAATAGCAAAAGGATAAAATGGAGCCTTTTCTCACTCAGGGTTACTTCAAACATTAAAAGCATCCCCTGGAAGTGACACCACTTCCCCCCACGGGGTCACTCCCAGGCAACATTAAACTCCTGGCTAATCGGCCCACCCCTACTCCTTCCTCCTCCCAGCTGTCCTCCCCACCTCTCATGCCATAACTCCAAGTAGGTCGGGATGCCGGGCAATGACTCAGGGATTTCCTGCTCGGCATTTACTGTATCAGGATGGGACCCAGTGTCTCCAGACCACATCAACTTGATGTGTGGACTCCAGACAAGATGGCGGCCACAGAGCTCTGCCAATGGGCCTCCCTCCTATAACGTGGGCCAGAGTACACGAACACTGGACGCGCAGACAGCGCGGGTGGGAGCAGCCAGGAGAGATGTCCCCGCCCGTCGGGGGTGCTTAGAGTTCACTTGTACCATCAGTTTCAACGCCATGTCATGACGGCCCCAAACTGGCTGCTGGAAGAACACACACTGGCACCCCGCAAAGCAGACCTGGTGTTTTCTCCACAATCTGGGGTTTTGGACTCTCCCTGCCACCGCTTCCTTTATTAGCGCTGATACTCCATTCTGTCACAGTGGAGAAGCGCTCGGCTGTTAACCAAAAGGCTGACGGTTCCAACCTACCCAGCAGCTCCTCGGGAGAAGGACCTGGCCATCTGCTCCCATAAAGATTACAGCCTAGGAAACCCTGTGTGGCAGTTCTACTCTGTCACATGGGGTCGCCGTGAGTCGGAGTCAACTTGACGGCACCCAACTACCACGACAGTTGGAAGCGACCCCACTCATCTGGCCAGGATCCAAGAGAGAGTGTGGCAGGTGGGAGCGGACGAATAAATACAAAGATCACCGCGGTACCCGCACGGAATGTCGCCCGATTCACTTTCATCAGCTAGAATCCTCCCATGACGTCAGGAAGGCTGGGAAATGTTGAAGACAAGGTCTGTGGCTGGCAGCTGTTTAACACCTCCAGGAAAAGTTGGGCTTCTCCAAGCAGTGGGGCTGCCTCGTGGAGGACATGAGTCCGCGCCAGCAGGAAGGGTCGCGGTGCCTCCCAGATGAGTCAATACTGTTTTCTTCAAAGGCTATAGATTCAGAGAGACTCACCCATCACTGAAAATCGCCAGTGTCCCTAATCTGGGCATTAAGGCCAGGTGACAGGCCTGGTGCTCCACGCTCCACTCCAGGGGACTTTGTGCAGGGGATGCTTGTGGCGGGGGTCACAAGTGGAAATTGACATTGCTGGGAGGGGGCCGCAGGTGGGTCTGGGGTCGTCGGTGCCAGAGGGCGACAGGTAAGCTGGCTCTCCCCCGGCAGGGCAGTCTGGGGGGAGGGGGGCAGGGCGCTGGCTCCTCGGGGTGGACCCTCTGTGGCTCACCCTCAGGGCAGTGCATGGGCCCTGCCTGTGTCTTTCATGCCCACTGGCTGTGACAGCAGTGAGCTCGGCCTGAGCTGGCCCATGAGGTCTGGAGCCAGCCACACAGGACCAGACAGCAGTCACTGAGTAGGGAAGGACAGAAGAGACCCCAGGGAGGGTGCAGGAAGGACCCCAGGGAGGGCGCAGGAGGGACCCCAGGAAAGGCACAAGGACAAGACCACAACGCCCTGTGAGACCAGAGACCAGTAACCGAGCGGCAGTGGACACGGGGCTAATGGGCAAGGACGGTGCAGGAGGAGACCCCGGGGAGGGCTCGGGGTCGCACCCCCCCGCCCCTGCCCCAGCTCACCTGGTAGTGTGCCCAGCAGGCCTCCCAGATGCGCAGCGCCTCGGCCTCGGGGAACTCGCGCTTGAAGCACAGAAGCAGCCAGCGGTGGCAGAAGAGCATCTGCAGGGCATCCTCGCCCAGCGAGACCAGGTGCTGGTAGAAACGCAGGTGCGTCAGCCGCAGCAGCTCCCGCAGGTATAGCTGGGGGAAGGCCAGGCCGGTCAGCCCCGCCCTGCAGCCCACCGCCGGCCCCGGAGGCCTTCTTCCCACCCTCAGCCCTGAAGAGCACGTGTCCGAGGGGCCGTCTCTACCTGGCTGTGGTCTGCCCCCACCTACGTTCATTCTGCCGCTGGACTGTGGCTCACATTGGTCTCTGCTAGTTTACCCCAGATTTAAGAGTGTTCCAGAGGCCGTGGTGTGGCCCAGAGCATCATACACAGCCATGGGGGTGGGGCTGAGCAGAAGCAGAGGGACAGAGCCAACGGTCAGCACCGGGAGTGTTTCTAATGCCGCCTTGTCCCCGCAAGGTGGGTGGCCATCCATGCAACCCTGGCCCAACTGCCCTCTGCTCCAGCCACCAGATGTCTTATCCCCAGAGCGGGTTCTGACCAGGGAGCAGGCTTCCGGAACCCAGGACTCTGTTCTCCGGCAGGGCAGGTCAATGAAAGCCCTCCCAGTGACGTGGGACGAGACCGAGGCTATTTCTGGCCAGGCCTGCTCAGGCGCCTGGCTCGGCTTCTGCTTCAGCCCCCCTGGAAGATCCATCTCCACAGCCCAGGTCCCTGGCCCTGGAGCTGTGACTCATGTCCTGTGGGGCTTATCAGGGACCCACGTCAGAGCTGTCCCTGCCTCCCCTGGCACCACGGACAGCTGACGCCACCTCCCACGCACAGGATGCAGCGGCGAGCGGCCGGCTCCCCAGGGTCCACCCATGGCTGCAGTGGCAATTTGGGGTCACCATGGGGCAGGGACTCCCATGACCCCCACACCCACTTCCTGTTCTGGAAACCCAGCCAAGGTCGCTGCAATGCCCTGTGGGAGTTCACCCTGGGGTCCTTCCTGACCCTGAGACCCCATCAGCATGGGTCAGTTTCTCCATCCTGGGGTCACACAGAGTCAAGTCCATACAGGTGGATCATCCCCCAGCCCCCGCTGCTACGGAGTCTCCCTGCTCCCTCTTCCTCTTGTGCTATCCTCTCTCACCCAGAGTCTCCGGCACCCCTGGACATTAGTCTAAGGGACCCCTCCTTGCCTGGGCATTCGAGGTCTCGGTTCAGCTCCACCCTTACTCATGTGATCCACCTGGGCCAACACGGCCCAGCCACTCAGGGCCCAGCTCCCTCACGGGGCGCCCCTCCCTCCCCAACACTGTTCCAGGGCCCTTTCTGCATCGCTCTCTGCACTGGCTTCCTCGCTTCCTACTGTCAGCTCCCACTGAGGTGCCCTCCCTGACCGGAGGCCAAGACCGCAACCCAGTGCTCAGTGCCCAACATATCACACAGGCGGGGAAGAGGTGCCCGGATGTGGTCCTGGGCAGCACCCAGGCCTGCCGACCCCCTGCTGCTTCCCTACACTCAGAGCTGCCTGGTCGAGGCAGGGCAGTGCCTTCCTGCTCTGGTGCGGGGACAGTGAGACTGCCCTCCAGTGCCTGTCCCCACTCAGGAGCCCTGGCTGCGGGGTCCCCTGCTGACACTGAGGACCTGTTCCCAGCCAGGACAGGTGTGACAGATGTTGCCTTCCTCACCCCGCACCCTGGCTGGAATGTAGGCACCCAGCCAGGAGAGTCCCACACAGCACAGCTCCAGGCCCGCTGGGCAGTGTGGCGTGGGCGTGCACCCCATGACCCGGGAGCAGCAGCCCTCCTGGAGAGGTCCCCAGCCAGCGAGCACTAAGCCGCCCACATCCCACCTACCATGCCCCCACCTGGCTTTCCCGATGACCACCATCCACGCCAGCAAAGCTGTACATGGCTGTCCAGGCCCTGCAGCCAGAGGAGGGCAGTGAGTGCTCCCTCGTGGTGCTCTCCACACGCACGCACACACGCACGGGCACACACATGCACCCACACACACATAGACACACACGGACGCCCACATCCCTTAGCCTCACCAGCTGCTTCTCCATGTCCTCGTCCCGAGGGGAGCTGACAAAGATGGTGTTCTGCATTAGCCCAATGAAGCACCAGAAGGTGTCAGACTCGTCCAGGACCTCGGCCAGGATGGGCGCCACCAGGTCCGACATGCCCTGGGAATAGCCGATGGCCGGGTTGTACACTGCATAGTTCAGCAGGATCCTCCTGGAGACGCGGGGGTGGAGGGGAGCAGGGAGGTCAGCTGCGCGGCCACGACATGCCCCACACTTGCTGTCTTCCCGAGGTGCGGCCCCTGGCCAGCAGAGCCCTAGGCTACAGCCCTGGGCTCCCCAGGCCCCTGTTCTGTGCCTTCATCTCGGGGCAGGTGGCTCTGATGCAGGTACTGGGCAGCCCTGGAGATCCTCTCCGGAGCCCATGCCTTGGATCTGGACCAATGGGCTCGTGCTTTGCAAAAGGTACCCGCTGCCATGGAGTCAATTCCGACTCATAACGATCCACGTGTTACAGAGTAGAACTGTGCTCCATAGGGTTTTCTTGGCTGTGATCTTCATGGAAGCAGACTATCAGGCCCTTCTTCCGTCAAGCCACTGCGCGGGTTCAAACTGCCAACCTTGAGGTTAGTAGTTGAACGCAAACCATCTGCTTCTAGAGACCTTTTGCAATTAGCAGGAGCATGAGCAGGAACGTGGCTTTGATTCCCTTAACGGGCGGCTGCCTTGGACCAAGCGTGGGCTAGCAGGGACATGTGTAGGAACCTGCCGTTTTTGTGCAGTTACTGGCCAGACTGCAGCAGAATGTCAGATGCCAGCCTCCGGCTCTCTGTGGCTTCAGGGTGGAAACCCTGCTGGAGGACCATCCGCTGGGAGCTGGGGAGGCTCATTCGTGGCCGGTGTGAGCCAAGTAAGGGGCATCTGCGGGTGCCCAGAGGAGGGGCGGCTGTTTGCTGAGCACCCTGGGGAGGGCCTGTGGGGTTCCCTAGGATGCTATTAGTAGCATTAAGCAGTTAATGAGTCCCTGATTGTGGGCGTTAATTACAAGAACCTGGAAGAATGACCCCATAGAAGACTGTGGCTGGGCTCGTCCACCTTCCAGAAGGGTAAACTGAGGCCCCAAGGGGCAAGGTGATGCTCGGGTTTGCAGATGGGGAAGTGGACAGGGCAGCTGTGTGCTACACCTGCCTGCAGTCCTCACCGCTCGCTGGCGTGTGACTCACCTCCCCGGGGGAGTTGTGCTGGCTGGGGGGCAGAGGGAAGGGGTGCGTACCTCATGCTTTCCACGTTCGGATTGCCCTCCCCTCGGAAGAACTGGTTGCTCCGATCTGTCCGAACCACGTCCTTGTCCACAGTGAACTGCACATTGCGCCAGAACTCTCTGTGCTCTTCAGGCGTCATTGAGAGTCTGCACATGGAGCAGAAGGCCTGGTCGGACGTCCGTGAACCGGCACATGCCATCAGCGAGCACACACACAGCATCAGCAAGCACACAGCGTGAGCAAATACACAGCGTCAGCGAGCACACACACGGCATCAGTGAGCAGGCACACGGCGTCAGCGAGCAGGCACACGGCGTCAGCAGGCACACGGAATCAGCAGGCACACAGCGTCAGCAGGCACACAGCGTCAGCGAGCAGGCACACGGC